CTCGGTTACGAATCCGTCGTCTCTCCTTCTCCATTCTATGCACTTGTGCACGGGTTGACATATCACCCGGCAAAGGAGAAGCACATGATGAGAACGACAATTCCGAGATCTCCTCCCACCGCTCGTGGGGATCATTAGGGTCTGGTCTCTCTGGACTCCCCTCGCTCAAGTCCCATGGTTCCGGGATATGCCTGAGCGCAAAGGCCATCTTTTCTGGCCAATTTGGGTCCTCTTTGGCAATTTGATCTGCCATTCCAGGACCATACCACCTTTGTATTCTAACCAGTCTGGCGGTGGTTAACCTTTCTCCAAACTGGTCGGCGGCCATCCGCCATCCCTCGTCAAGCTCATCGACGAGATCGCTGTGGAACTTTGTCCACATTGCACGGCACGGTGGTTGCCGGCTATATGGATCTCGAGTGTCTGGAACGAACTCCAGCACCCTTGAGCTTTCACCAGGCCCCCATTCTGGTAATGCAGGCCTCCGAGGGCTCCAATTATGGCCTCCCGGCCTTGGCGGACTTTTTCCGCAAACAGCTTGAGCGCTTTCTGTGAGCGACTCATCTCCAGTCCCGTCCGATCCACTAGGTGTTCTCACATACACCTGGGATTTGAGCCGTAGCTCCGGGATCTTGACCTTCCGGCCTTGCATTCTCTCAACTCGCCCTAAGGCTTTGGCCTCCCGGCCTTGATATGGAGATTTCTCACTTTCCATCGGCCGCTCACCTGGCGATGGACTCTTCCGCTTGGAGCGCTGCTTGCCAGCAACCTTCCAGTCTTCCTCTGGAATGGTTGGCATGGGCAGCTCCGACGGACTGGGGGCCCTCACAGCTGGCACCACCTGTTGGGCGCTTCTCTCTTCTGCCTCCTGGGCCCGCTGCTTTTGCTTCAGGAGGCGGTCACTCAACGCCTTGACCTGGTCTTCGGCGGAGGTTTTGGCTTCTTGTGCCTCGCGGCTCTGCTGCTTCGCCTTCTTCATGGCCAGCTCTTTCTCTCGAGCTTCTTTCTTGGCCTTGTTGACGGCGATCTCCAGCGAGGCGATCCTCTCGGCGGTCTCTTCATCCCGCTTCGCTCTCGCCTTCTCGGCCGCGGTATCCGCCATCTTCTGCGGGAGCTCTTTGATACCAGGGATCTTCAGCAACGTCGCCGCCGCCTCAGCGTCCTGGTCTTGCTCCTGTGTCTTCTCCGCCGCCGGCGGGGTATCCACTTCTTCCATCGGCTCATCTTCTGCTGCGGGTGCCGATGTGGCTGTGGAGGGTCCAGCCATGTCCTCCCGGACTGTTACACCTCCTGGCCCATCCCGGGCTTGTTCAGTTCCTTGCCCATCCCGGGCTGTATCGATCGCCTGCCCATCCCGGGCTTGTCCTTCCCCCTGCCCATCCCGGGCTTGTTCCTCCGATTCCTCAGCCTCCATGGAGGAGGCCGGGGAAGGGCTCCGGCGTCTCGTACTCTCGCGCGCTCCCAGGTGGAAGCGTGGCCGCCACCCTCAGGCGGCTCCGAAACCAAATGTTACGAATAGGATGTGGGTGTGGGGTTCCTGCCCTCTTTGAGCCGCGGACCCGCCTCGCCGGGCACCTAGGTCCTTACAGGGCACCTAGGCGGGACCACCCCTCCTACTCCCGTATCCTAATAGGGATAAAGGTTACATTGGGTGAGGAATAGTACGTGCCTTGGGCAGGGCGTCCCCCACACCAAGGGCCGTTAGTAGGACGTCTCCCACATCAGGCTGGTGCGCGTAACATTTTTGTGTTCTTAGTTTGTAAAACTATGGTGAAATGTGTTTTATGTGTTTTCGCAAAAGTGTTATTGAGCCTGTTTTTCCTAGTGGCATCGGGGGACACAAACGGAGCAATGAGTGCAATTCCCCCTTTTGAAACGCCATTATAGCGATTATAATCGCTATATCGATCATGGGTAGTTACCCATGAGATCGTCCTCCTAATTAGGAGGGTAGGAGGTGGCGGACATCCATGAAACTGCAGAGGCTCTTCCCATGCAATGTTGCAGTGCAGGGAGATACGGGCCTTGGCACATGTTGGGGCACGTGCCCCAATGCAAACTAGAGCAGCGCGCATTCTATTTGCAAATGTATGACCACGGTCGCAAGCGGGGGGAGAAGTTACATCACCGGCCGAGATTTGAACTTCTAATTTGAGCGCCACCGAGAATCCAACGGCGGCTGTCCGCAACATTGCATATCGGGAGGCTGGCGGCCCCGCGTGGCTGCAAGGGAAGTTGCTCGTTGAAGAATCGTGATGCAGCGATGAAAGATCACGTTTGCTCGCCGTTCACCATGAACGGCGGCAACTTGTTTGCATGCAACGTGGTTTGATTTGCTCATGCGCCTTTTTTCAGAGTAGCGCACAAGCCGAGGCAAGCCACTTTAGGGAACACATTGTTATATTCGATGTTGTTCACGATGCCGCGCCGCTCAAGGGCTGGTTCATGATCGACGCAGGAAGACACATGGCTGGCTGAGTGACACCGCAACAGAGACCAGTCATGGATTGCATGGACAGCCGTTGAGCGTCGCTCACAAGCGAAAAGTTCCACTTCAGTATTGAACGTGTATTCCTCTAGGGGCGCTGGGCGGTGAAAGAGTCACCCTGCATGGCGTTAAGACAAAGCACCATTTGCTGATGGAAAAGGTAGAATTGCTACCACGTGCTCGAAAAAATTATAGAAAATATGGCAAGTGGCAGATGTGCCGCAAAAAAACACCACAGAGAAGTGAAGATCGTTTTGCATTGCGTTGATCTAAACCGGTGAGAGTGCTACTGAAAGTGTGGCAGTTTTGAAAGAAAGCAGGGAAGGCACTGTTTTGAATTTAGCGTGCTTTGCGCTCAATGGATGCTAAAGCTGGGGGGTGCTCATGGCACGGACGCTATTTATCTAAAGATATATCTTAAAGATGATAGTCAGTGCATTAACATCACGTTACAATAGGAAGAAGCCGGAGTGGCCTTCAAGTAGCCGGAGTGATCTTCTTTTTTCAAAGATACTGCGCACGTGCTATGTCCACAATTGCGCACATGTCACACATGGCTGTTTGATGGTCGCCGCCACTGGGAGCAAGTTCATGGGATAGTGGTGGTGCACAGGGCGCACGGCCCAGGACTGTCCAGTGGGACATAAGTTTAGGCGATCGGTGACGGATGCTAAACGGTGAGCGGCAACGTCCTTCAGTGATCGGATCATTGTCATTGCCAACCTAGCGTAAGTAGATTGTGATTGGCAGGTAGAGCGATGGAGAGTATGCACTGGGAGAAACGGTGGCGTGTAGTACCTTTGGATGACAAGAATCTTTGTGGGAAGCTCATGTACGGTATAGGCAAATACGATCGCGGGTAGCTGGCAGCGTCATGGGCCAATGCTCCTTTGTAAATGCTAGCTGAGTCAGCTGCTGCATAGCTTGAGTCGCACCATGTCTCTTGGGTATTCACACACAGATATCTTTGTAATTGGCGACCAGCTTTGTGTAATGACAAATTCCTTTCTGTGGGATGCTGGCAAGGACGAGTTTGGCTGGGTTGCGCCGATGGTTTGGATCAGGCTTGGCTTTTACGCCGTAAAAACTGATCATATTTACGTTTTTGCGCGTAAAAATGCGTAAAAATAGGTAAATATAACGTAAAAACTGCCCGGTGTACATAAGGACAGTACATACAGACTTGCGGTGTCCAGAGAGTGGCAGCCAGACGCCCTGGAAGGGGCAGAAAACGAGTTTTTGTTAAACACCATCATCGCCCTTGCCAAGGGCGAGGTGGACACTGTGTTGTGGGTGCTGGATATGGCGGAGGACTGATCATTGTACGCAACTTTCATCGTGTAATCTGGGCGTCCCAGGGGCCGTAAAATAGCCGTAAAAATAGGGCCTTTGCAAATTTACGTTTTTACACGTAAAAACGTAAAGGTAAAAACGTAAACGTAAACGTAAAAACCAAGCCTGGTTTGAATTGGAACTTCCAATCGCAGCTCTCTCAGAGAAGGCCCCGCGGACCGCGCTGGGTTGGTGTGGCAAATCTAACGCCAACATTTCGCGCATCAATTGTCGCCACTGTCACAGAAAAGAACGCGTCGCCAAAAAGAACAACTTCACTTCTGTTAAACAATTTCATTTCTGTTAAAAAATAGTAACCAACTTCAACAGCCCTCAGATTCAATGATCCTCGCCCCCGCCGTGACGAGAGGCCCGCGGCGCCCTGCTGCCCCCCGCCTTCCCGGCACTCACCCGTCCGTCCCCGTCACTCCCCCCGTCAGACCCCCGTCACCGCCCCCACATGGCGCCAGCGGCCCCGCCATGCGTTAAAGCGCCCCCCGTGGCCCCTTGTCTCCCCTCCAAGCCCCTCCACCCACATACCCCCTCACCCCCCACCCACCCTCCCCGCCTCCGGACCCCAAACCTTCGAGCTGCAGCGGATCGCGGACAATCAGGGAGACAAGGAAGGGATCGGCGGTGGAAGATGTTTCGGACGGTGTTCGGGAGGGCCAGCGCGAGCGCCGCGGCGGCCGGCGCGGCAGGGGCTGCCGCAGCGAGCAGCAGCCAGGCGCATGCACACGCGCGGCCCATCCGGCTCTACCCCGGGGGCGGCAGCCTGGTGAGCTGGGGAAGGATCGCGGGGAATGGGGCGGGCGGGCGGGGATCGTGTTGCATCTAGGGGGGATCGCGGGTGGCTGCGTCTCCGGCGGAGGGGTGTCTGTGGGATTTGCGTCGTTAAGTGCAGCAGGGCGATTTTTTGGGGGGAGGGGGCTGGTGCGGCTTGCCGAGCATCGGCGGTGCTGTGGGTTTGGAGGCGTCCTCGCTGCTCTGTGACTTCCTCTCGCGCAGCCGATGGCGCGGGATTTGTTGTCCCGATTGAAGGCAAGGATTCGGGCCACGCCCGTCGCATGTGCGCTGCTGTGCTGCTGGGGAGCGATCATGTTTTGGATCGGGATAACGCCTGGTGCCTCTGCGGGAACCCTCCAATTTTCCGAAGCCTTCGAAAAGGTTTCCGGTTTGGATGGCGGACGTCCCGTTCTGCCTGGCCGTCTGGATCCAGTCGAGTCGCGTGCCATGCCCGGTGTGTTGTTTTCACGTAGCCTGTCTGGGTACCATTATCCTTTCAGCACCATCTGGAGTCCGTCCAGGTGGTGTCTGTGGCGTGGAATGTCCCTTGCTGTTCGTGCCCCACGCAGTAGGTCCCAGCACGATCTCACAGCCCCATATCATTGAGGGCGGCCGTCACGCGCTGGATCAGAGAGAATTGGAAAGGCCGCGCGAGCGACCTTTGCCCTGCACCTCGCCGGCTGAAAGGCCGATGAGAAGGAGTCCGTCTGCAGTGCACCGCTGTTTCCCACACCCCCTCACTACCAGTACTTGGCCTTTCAGCCACTCCAAAGCCTGGATTGATCATTGCAAAAGAAAGTGGTGCTAAAAACACTCCAGCACATACATGGTTAACGCACGCACAGTTTTCTTCGAGGTTTTGAAGGCGCAAGGTACCTGCACTTCCACTTTTGCATGTCATCCACCCTTCAAATGACTTCCAGCTTTGTGAAAAAGAATCGTAACCTTCCTACTCGTTCTTGGGTCCCTGGTTTCTTCTGCTTTTCAAAGACTTGTACAGTTTGGTGGTTTCTTCCTGTTTACCATATTCTGTTCCATGGTTTCTTCATGTTCTGACAGTCTTACAGTTTTGTGGTTTCTTTCTGTTTAGACTATGTACAGTTCTGCGATGTCTTCCTCTTCACCCCATAGCAGCTCCGTGGTTTCCTCTCCTTTCTTGTTCATACCCCTTACAGTTCAGCGATGCACTGACAGTTCCTTCCCCCATCACCGGACGGTTGGCTGCAGGTCGATGATCGGGCAGGGAATGCAGGAGCCTCGCTGAAGATCGAGGTACTGCCGCCTGCTCCTCGCTCGGATCGACACTGCTCATCTTTCTGATTCTCCTCCACGCTTCTCCCAGTCTCCACGCCACAACGACCAATTGATGTTAGGGAGACCTACTGTGTGTGCTCAAACGCCCCTCTGAAGTTTGCTTCTGGACTGGATGCCTACCGTTACTGACTAGGTGCAAGGGCACTGTTTGCCCTTTAACCATACACACACTGGAGACCGGATTGCCACTGGACTGGATACTGCCACTGGACTGTACCTTGAAGCCAGTGTCTGTGGTCATGAAGGGTGACATCCCCTCCCCAAACTGTCAAGCCCCTCTGCCCATTGATTAGTTTGAGTTTCTGGCTTGAAAGGCGTGGTCTGTTGATTTCTCTTTGTTTTGGGCACCATTCTACCTCCAGTTGTTTCTTCCTTTCTTCCATGTCAGGTTTTGCCTTCAGTTTGCACTCAACTCCAAGACGTCAGCCAGGCAGTCAATATCCCGCAGATATGATGCGATTCTTGTAACACAATGCTTCTGAATCAGTGGTCGCTGCATCTGTAACTGGCACATCGCGGACTTTCATGTGTTGTGCCCATCATCGTCTGCAAGATGCACGAGTGCCATGTGGTGCTGCAGAGGCATGAGCAAGACATGCGCCGATGCACCGTTTTCAGTAGCATGGCCTTCTGTGCATCTCTTGAGGTGTGCAGCTGAAGATTCGTCTGCTGCCACGTGCACAGGAGGACTGGCTGGTGCCACAGCTTCAGGGGGAAGACATCCAGTTCACCTCTGAGGAGATCGAACAGACTGTCCAGGAGATCACTGGCATCGCGACCGGGTGGGCATGACACTTGACTGGTGTGGCAGACCAGGATTGTCACAATATCAAGATATGCAGAAAACAACTCAATCGAAATGCACAAGCGAATGGAACCATTTACATCCCACCAGTGTGTTGCCAGTTGTGACTGAATATTCAGATGAAAGGCTTGTGGTGGAGGTGAAGTCATTTTGGTTGCTGCCTTCACCTACAGTGTGTGCAACCTTGCCCATTATCCTAATATGCAAAATGCCACTGCTGGCTTTTATGGCATTTGCCAGTGGCATGCATTGTCTTGAAGATTCATCATCATCATTATCATCATCATCATGTCTTGAAGATTCACAGCGTATGTCTTGAGAGCCTATTCTTTGAAAACTCTAGACCATCACCCAATCTAAAAGAAAAGAGAAGAGCATGTCCTACCCTTGTCCTTAGAATTGGCAAAAAGGGCTAAACCATAAACATTGGACCACTGCCATTTGCTTCTGGGTGATTGAACTTGCCCTTTCATGAATCAGTGTCATCGGATGCCATGCATGCAGCGAAAAGTATTGTTGCTTGCAACTGCATGCAACAGACAGCCGAATTCTGGGATGAAGTTGTAAACAGTATGGTTAATGATAAGGGCTGCTGCCAGGGTCTGGCTCACGTAGCAATGCACACGAGTTCTGGATTTGTGTTGCAGTTGATTGATTGCCTGTTGCCTGTGTCTAGCGAACGCTGGCACCAGTGGAACAAGGCACAGTGCAGTGTCGCCAATCTCAGTGCTTGTAAGCATGTATCCTTTTTGCCTCTGTTCAGGAGTGTGAAGGTCTTTTCGGACAGCGACAGCGTTGACCTAGATGCCACTGACCATGACATCGATGCGGTCATCGACCAGGCCAACATTGTGCCAGCTGGACAGGGCATGCAGCAGTTGGCCAAAATGACAAACATTATGGTGAGTTGCAGATAGCTCCTCATTTCTTATTCACAGCTTTGCAGGCCATGGAGGTGGTAAGATGCCACCATCTTGATCAAGCCAATGTGGTGGGTGCCAAGCAATCTAGAGTTGGTCACTAGTTGGAGTGGCAAGAGTAGCCCAGTTTGCCATACCCCGGCAGGGGGCATCAGGGTTGTCAACAGCACAGAAAATGGCAAACAAGACTCCCTTTGGAAACATGCGCTCGCAGCAGTGGCAGCAAACCCTTTTCATTCCCCTAACTGGGACAAGGAGTTGCTTGCGACTGGCCTCCAATTGGCATGGGCTGCATTTGCATTTGTGGAAATGAGGACATCCCTGCGTTTGCACTGAGGGCAAAGTCAGATCCTAGGAGTAGCAGAGGGGTCGCCATTGTGATAAGGTTGTGTGTGTGCGCAGCTGAATCGCCCATCCATCCAGCATGAAATTCTTCAGGCCCTTCAGCAGGAGCCAGAGCTCAGGGACATGATCGAGTCCATGGCTACTCGACAGGTAGTGGCCTCTACAGGGCAAGAAGGCACAAGGCTGTGGAGTCCCATCACATTCAAATTCTGGCTTTTTAGAACTTCTCTGCATGCAGGCGCTGATGCCATGGCTCTTCTAATAATACCAACCATGATGCTTCAGGGTCCTCTTTTCTTGTGCACATGCATCCAGCACCAGATTTCAAAGGGAATTTCAAAAGATTCCATGGGCAGTCACATGGGCTGAAATCCATGATTTTGGGAATAGAGCATCCCAGGACCAAAACAAGAAACCGAGTTGCTAGTGATTGTGTCATAATGGTGGGTGAAATTCGAAGCACTGATCTTGGCACAGCTTTTCACTGAATTCATGGAAGATAGTCCATCAGTTTGCTAGTGGTCGGCAAGGGCCCCACAATTCTTGTGAAATGAAGCAGTGATCACCTAACCACAATGCCAATCAGAGCAAGCATGCAAGGAAGCGAAGTTGTTTTCACAGTAGCAATGTTGGGTCTCTATTCCAGGGGCAAAACACTAGCAGGTTGTGCTGGTGTCCTGTGCTCCTGTTTCTGCAAGCCAGGTCATGTGCCATGCATGGAGATGCTTTCATACAGTAGTTTCCTAAGCAAGATTTCGGATTATTCATATCTTATTTTTTGCAACATATTGGCAGTTTTTGAGGCTCTACAGCAGTTCGTGGAAATAAATGCTAGTGGATGGGAAGTGCTCCCGATGTTGTCATCAAGCAGATGCCAGGTGCAACAGTGACTGGTCATCTTTTGATGGATGCTGACAGATAAAAATCATGTTTGGAGGCGGGTGGTGAGACATGATGTGATGTGTCGCTGCAGGGTGATACTGCATTCCTTGCCTTTGGTGTCCAGAGGCCAGCACTGTTGGGTACCGATCCTTGTGTGGAGGATGTAACTGATGTGAGCACTCTGATTCAAGGGTTTACCTTATGCTGAATTGTCTGAGTGTCATTTGACTGATAAATGATGGCCCTTCAACAGCATAACCATGGTTGTGGAAGTTCCTCATCTCAACTTGCCGAGTGCAGAATGTGTGGGTTATAAGATGCGGCATTGATTGATGCTATGTAGTACTGTGCCAGTGACCTGGCACTTTGGAACAGTCATAATAGTCGTTTTGGGAGTGGCTTGTGCCATTAGAGGTTTCCTGATGCCACCACCCTGCCTTCATCTCAGTTCTGGGACGACTGCAGTACCACGACCATGGCAGCTTGCCAGCACCTAGCTGGATTGTCATTATATGCACTTGTTGCACTCTGCTCCCCCGTTGCTGCTGAAATGGTGTAGACAAAAGTAGACAAATAGTAAATGCGTAAAATGTCTTCAAGCATTGGGGTCAGGCATCAGACCGTCTGCGATCCCAAACTAGCGCAGGCGGTGCATTTGTAGGAATTGTTGTTATAACTTTCTCATCGGTAAATGCTGGGCATTCAGGCTTTTTTGGACAAAAGGGCTTTTAGGAAAAAAAGAATATTTTGTGAGAGGAAACAGCTCCTCTCTTCTGCAGTTTTTGCTTGTGAATGTGTTCTTTGCTGACTTCACTAATCAGACCTTGTTTGTGTTTCCTCTGCAAATGTTTTGCATACATTTGCGCATCCTTTGATTGTTGTCATCCAATTGTGTACAGTGAGGGCCAACAAGGCTCGCTGAAAGGCTGAGCTCCCTTCTAAAAGCCCATTCCTGAATCTTTCCTCTCTGTTCATGGTGATCACCGGCCTGAAATGCAGTAATGCCCATCATTGCAGTGCGATTCTGAATGCACTGTATTCAACAGAGTCACAGGGTAGCAGACTGACATTTTCCATGGGCAAATGCCAACCATTGCCTTCCATGGTGCAAGAGAACTGTTTTGGCTTGCAGAGGCAACCACAGACGATTGTGCAGGTACTGATCGCTCTGTTCTGGTGTACAGGGAGACAAGAAGAATCTCTTGCAGGCCCTGATGCACGACATTGCCCATGGGCTCGAGGTGGCGGGCGAGGGTGTCACGGCTGCTGGCCAGCGGGTCGGCAATTTCCTGGGCCGCCTGGGCCGCTGGCTGCGCGGAGCGGGAGACGCAGCAACCCGTGACAACACCTCCAATGGTGAAAAGGTCATTGGCCTGACGCTCTGCTTCGCAGCCATCGTGATGGCCGTCCTTGTGGCCAAGCGTGTGGGATTCATCCGTGTTGTCTCCCGCCACTGAGCCAGAAGTCATCGATCCCCCATTGTGAGGACCACTGTGTGCAAAGGTGAAGAGGCGGGCAGCCGACTGTGTGGGTGGAAATGAATGGAATCTGGCAACAACTGTGTTTCAGAATGTGAGAACAGTTTGTGCATCAGGACGCTCCCCCTTCTGTCAGGAACATGCATTGATCTGTGTGTCAGGTGGGTGGGCTTGGTGCCTGGAAGGGAGCTCAATCATGGGGCTCGAATGCACTTTGGGATGGGAAGTTTTTTGCTGGACGGGCGGGTGTCAGCTCTTGGCTTGCACTTGTGCAACCCCCGCTGTCTATTTGGATTGCGAGTTTGTGGGGCATTTGATCGTGGCCATATGTGCCTGGTGTGGAAGATTACTATCACAGGAGAGCCGGTGGGTGGATGAGTGCTGGTCCGGTGCTTGCACACCCGCGTTTGCACTCCAGTTCGACTGGTCATGTGCTGGGACATTTAATTGTGGCCTTGTGTGCCTGCTGTAGAAGAATCGCACATAAGGAGAGTTCGACGAGAACGAATCATTGCGAGAGTGCTGGGTCGCGCACCTTGTGTCACATGTCAGTTGGCGAGATCGCTGGGCTGCGCTTTGTTAGATCATGTGGCACCGATGCAATGGCTTGAGTTTACCTGGAGAGCAACTGTACCATATGTGGGAACTGTACCATGGTCCAGTTTGGGGTATTCATCTTGGTTTGACATGTTCAACAATGGGGCTGCACCCCCTCTGCCGGCTCTGCAGAGCTGGAAGGATGTGCCAGCAAAGGGTACCGAACGACCCTGGGTGTGGTTTGGCTTGAGAAGATATGAAAGAATTGGGAGGAATGGGCTTTTCTAACCATTTGTAGGTCAACTGTGATAGGCTGAGAAGATTCACCAGTGTGTGTGTGCGTGTGTGTGTGTGTGCGTGCGTGCGTGTGTGCGCGTGCGTGTGGGCATGTGTGTGATTTTGTGTGCACTCGTTTGCAAGTGTATCCATGCATCGTGTGTTGTAACAAGTGCAAAGGACGTTGGGAATAATTGGGTGTTATGGTCCCAACCTGGAGAGTCTGGAATCGGCCTAATTGCCGCCTCACCCAGCATATTTCTGTGGGAGCCAAAGTGAGCGGCAACGTGAAGCGTGTGGTGTACCTGCACTTGTCTTTGTAAGGACTTTTGACGTTCGAGTTGGATCCTATTCATTTGTAGGCCCGATGTGGCTGCTGTCGAGCACTGTTGCTGCTGCTGTTGCTGATGACGTGAACGTGGCTTGTACTGAAATTTCAGTACGCGAGATGTTCACGTCTCTGCACTTGTACGCATAGATGCCACGAGTGGTTCCTGTGCCTTTTCAGCCCCCATCTTCTGACCGAAATCGGCGTAGTGGTTGCTCCCTTGGTGGACATCAGCATTGTGTACTTTCGGCGCCAGTCTCCAGCCCTGTCTTCTGCCGAAATGCGCATCAGTCGCCTCAGCTGCAGGCCTGGCCACGCACCCTTGTCTTTGATATCGAAACAGGTGTCTCCTGTGTGTGCTAACCCATGGGCGCAGCTGAGGTGTTCTATGCTGATCGAACGCAGGCTTGCGACTCTCCAACGAGCGTGGCGGGCCTTAACGGATGACCCAATTACAGTTCTGAACGCCTCTGAACTGGCGCAATTTTCAGTACGGTACGGCTTTGGCATTGTGGGACTGTTCTGGTACTGTGGGACCGAGTCGATTTCCGACCCACTCGAAGTTCTGCCCCTGCCGCGACTTTTTTTTCCAAAGATCGTTCCAACGTCGACGTCACCTTCTGGCAGAGGTGTGTTAGCGCGGTGACGCGCTGTGCTGTCGGTTGGGTTGGCGTTGAGCACGGTCGCCCGTGTTGTACTTTACTCAAGAACGCGCGCTGTATTCTCCTGTCGTCTTTAGGATGCAATTCCTATGCTGCTCCAATTAGGAGCACAGGCCAACACAGTGGCCGAATTGGCGCTGGCCACACTGTCCAACGTTGTATCGTTTAAGCGTCTGTCTGCTGCAGTGGTTGACCCGCCGGTCGCTCATGTACTGGCGCCACCGTCCTCAACGGTCCGCTCAGAAGGCGGCCATGCTGCCACTCTTGGGCTTACTCCCGAGGCTGTTGGTCGGCATTTCTGTTTAGGAGCGATTGTCTCCCATGCACCTGATGCACACACAACCCAAGAGCAGACGCTGGAGCATTCGGGGCTTTATCGTTTTGTGGGCCTCCTGGATCTCATTGCCCCATTGAATAGGGAGCAGTCAACGAAATCAGATACTCAGGCATACTCGTGCGGCTCCCATGGTGGACGAGCCAACCGATGCAGCTGGCAATCCTTTGAGATGACCTTCACCGGCTCAAATCAAGTTGTTTGTTGGTCAATCGGACAGTTGACTACTCACATTTTCTTATGTGGGCGACGACTCACCAGTAGGCTTCCAACTTCTCCTTTTGAAATGTCGCCAAATTACAGTAATTGCCAAGGCAAGCAAGCCAAGACGTCAACGAAGCACTGTTCGGGGCGCCAATGAACATAGAAAGATTGCATTATGGAGACAGCCCCTTTAGTAGCGCTCAGCTGGCGCCCCGTGAGGCCCAGAGCAAGTGGCAAGTAGCCCAGAACCGGTCCAGGATGACACAGAGCACCAATGACACCACCTTCCCAACACTAGGACAACGTCACAGGGGACCCAGGATGCGCTGGGAAGCCACAAAACCTGCCAGTATAGCCACAGTAGCCCTGAAGCAAGTTGGAAGCATTGTCCAATGCGGCTGGTAATGTACAGAAACCCTCGCAACACCGTGGAAGCACCAGCATGACACCGCTCGCCACAAAGTACTTGCGCTCTACCCGTCACCCCTTTGGTGACCGAGACGGCTTGCAAACCCACGCGCGTGTAGCAAAACCAGACCCAGTGGCTCAGAGGGACATGGCAAGGAGCTCCACGTCAAAAAATCAGAGCAATGCCCAGTGATCGCGTCGCGCGACCGATAGCTAGTCATGGGGCTGCAAGAGGCCCATCCCATCCATCTGGCCGGGATGCCGATCTCGATGTAGCGGACAAAATGTAGCCGGGGGAAAATACGGGCAAGGGAGAGGCCTTGTGGCCTGCCCGGATAGGATGCAAGGGGAAGGCAAGACTAGAGAATGCCCCGGGATCCCATGCGACCGGATGCAGGGCACCGCGAATGGCCATGGTTCACGGAGCCGCACGGTCGATCTTTGCACTCCGGAGGGAAAGCAACTTGGCAGGATTACGGAGAGGGGGGTTGGCTCCCGACCTGCATGGGGAGTTTGATTGCGGGAGTTCGGGGGAGTGAACGCGCCGCTCCGAAAGGTCAGCGGGGCGCGGGGGCTGAGCGGAGCTGGGGAAGTCACGTCGGCGGAGCGAAAGGGTGTACTGCTGACAGCTGACTCAACCTGGCACCCGTGGGGTTGCCGGGGAGGCCGGTATCGGGCGCGCATCAGGCGCCATCAAGCGGGGTCTGTAGTTCGCGACCCCTGATGGCCTGCTGAAAGAGCGAAAGAGTTGCGACTTGTTTTTGCAGCATATTTATGAACCCTTTAGCGCCAATTTTGGCTATTATATTTATCTGAGATTTTCTATGTACTTAGTGGACGATTTGTAATGCATGGGCACCAATTTCAGGACTTTCTAGTCAATCCTGAATTAGTTAGAGTTTTCATCCGGGGACCAAATTTGAGCCCCAGGGACCCAGCGGCTAAGGAGGTACAGGAAATTGCATCTCAAGAATTGGATTTCAAGTAGGAAGCTAAGGGAGGAATAATCTCAAATTTTGCGACATGATGATGTGCTCTGTCCTCTGTCCAATGAAGGTAAGAACGTGTTATTTGGACAAGAATTGGCATAGATATGTTTTTTTTCAGCTTGGCAGGTCCTGGACGGATATAGTATTTGTAGTGAGTGTGTCAAATGGGTATTGTCCTATCTAGAGCGTCTAGCGTGGCCAACTCTTCGTCCTGTGTGGGTATGGACCCTCGGGTGGCAAGGGTTGTGCATTGGCGCGACCTTTCACGAATACCTTGTGGGGCGGATGTTGATTCTTTTGTGAATGAGATTGAGGCGCACATACAGGCGCGTCAAGAGACCCCTGGAGTGGAAGTGGAAGTTACTCTTGATGACGGGACGATCCACTACGACCCTTAATGGAAGAGGTTGCGTGAAATGAGGGATGTTTTGCAAGGCGAATGGACAGCTGCAGTTGAACGTGATCGAGGGTGTTCGAAGTGGTTGTGATCCTCTCAGAGGTGGTGCGAGCGACTCTTGGAGTGAACGAAGCTCCTGAACTGGTTGCGGAATCAATTGCTCTGGACTTCGAGCAGGTTGTGTACAAGGGAATGGTGAAGGCGTGGATGGGAGCTGTCGGAGACATTGAAAAAGCAAGGCTTCGAGGGGAGACGAATACCCCAGTGTTGCTCAGAGCATATCTAATCATCCAGGCAAGGGTGAAGGAGGTCGAGAAGGAAGTGAACAATGAGTATTATGACCATGAGAGGAAGGAGAGCATGGTTGTCTTCAGAGCCAGGAAACCAAGGTTGCAAGCTCTTTTAAAAGAGCAAAAGGAGCTGTGCGAGCTTCCACCAGGCTTGCCATCCCAACATAGCATGTTGCCTTGCATTATGGCTGCAATGGTGGGTTTTCGAACGAGAAAACGAGAACTGAATACGGCAAGAGCATTGCGGCAGATACGGTTGGAGATACGCCTCTGGTAGTTGAACAGAACGAGGCCATAAGTGGTCGAGCGCACCCCCCCCAGCTTCATGACACCCTTAAGTCATCCGGTTGGTTGGGTTGGAAGCTAGTTTGGGAGTCGGACGGGTAGGCTAGGGGGGGATGCGCATTCCTATTGGCCACCATGGCTGTTTGAAATAGGGTCGCATTTCAAACGCGTGACTAGACTTTGACAAGTGACATGGTGATTAGGTAATTATAGTTGACGCGCTCACAGCTACGTGGTCGGACTGGACTCGGCGAGCTGTACATATATGA